TCAGCAGGAGGCCAGGATCAGCAGCATCAGGTAGGCAAGGATGAGGTCATAATGCACTTTGTCTTTGTTGTTCTGTGTTCACAGAGACATTTCTGTAATGGGAGATCCTTATCATACAATACACAAGTCATCTATGGCAAGTCCAAAAGTGTTGGGGTGGGGGGATTTGTCTGCAGCCCATTACCTCAAAAGCTTAATACTTCACAGAGTGGTGATGTCTACTGATCACAGTTGCTACTGATCAGCTGGATCACAGTTATTGACCACAGCTTGGTGTCAGGGGGGGAAAAGTGTTGACTTTTGTGTCTAATAACACTAAATTGGACTGTGGACACAAACACAAAAGAGAGGCTGCATGTTTATAAAATCTGCCACCATGGAGAAGCATGCTAGCTGGTTCTTTTTGCATAATTTTGCCTGATTCCCCGCTTTCTTTTCAAATCTAGCCTCTCACTGCTGCCCAGTACTTTTGCCTAAAGAGGAGCTGCATTGGAACAGCTGGAGACTAACTGGCAAACAGCAAAAGGGCACCTCAACAGTGGTTTTGTAGTGAGGGGGAAATCATGTATTATTTATTTCTGCAAGCTGGGCCAGGCTTTATAAAGGCAAATCTGTGGATACAAGCTTCACTTACAGTTCCCACGTTGTCTCTCCTTTCTTACACTAGCATGCACAAGCACAAACACACATGCCTGGCACATTCTTTAAGACTCTTTCTCTGGTCAGTTCTAACATAAGATGATGTTCCAGATGTTCCTGGCAGGCAAGTCTGTCCACTGATAACAGCTCCTTTCCCACACGGGCACACCTTTTTATGAAGACTGTGCTGTCAGGATGCAGATTGAGGGCGAGGAGGTTAAAGAACTCTTCCTAAGGTGCCTATCACTCATACATTTCCTTGATTCAAAAAGGCTAGCCTAGAGGAAAAAAAATCTATAACGTGTTCTAGGCTCTGTGCTCCGCTGGATCCCCAGGTAAATCCATAACAGGAAAGAAAAGAAGAGGTGGGGTGGGGCGGATTTTAGTGTGACTCATACTTTACTGTGTGTATCTGCCCAGGGTGGTGATATGCCTTTGCTAAAGTGACATTTTCTGAATACTGTCCTACTGTCTGAGTCAACACTGTCACAAAGTTTCCCTGGCACAAATACTTTCAATACTTCAACCAACATCAAACTCTTCTGCAGTTTTCACCCTGTCCTATTATACAGGAGCATGGCTGTGCTCTGCCTGGACAAACTGACTGGAAGTCCACACTCCATCACAAAGTGCCCTGATCAGCAGTGAAGAATCCACCTTCTTTCTTTTGCCTCTTCCTCAGTCTGTGGGCCCTCCAGCAAACAGCTGCCACGAGCAGCATCACTATGCCAACACAGAGCAACGCCACAGACACCACTTTGGTCTGGAGCAGTGTGTTAAAGGTGAACGTCACCCCGGTACCTGCCATGCCAATCACTAGTGATATCACGCCGAAAGGGAACACACAGCGGTACCAGGACTTCTCTGTCCCACCTGTAGCCTGGGCAAGTCTCTCCAGAGTGGGGAGAGACTCTGGAGGTTTGACTGGGTCTCTTCCAACACTTCCTTCCCTTTCTGTTCCTTCTCCAAGGCCATTCAAACCCTGGTTCTGGTTCTCAGAGTCCTGAGGTAAGGTGTTGGTCTCACTGTTGTTGCCATAGTCGAGGTCCGGGTGAAAGGCTGGGGCTGGGGGCTGGCGACCTGAGGAGCAGCCCATCTCAGAGCCGCTGTCTGTGGATGATGATGCTAGAAAGGCTGGGGGTGTCGGTCCTCTCTGCGTGTGTCAGACGATTGCTACTGGCGCTTTTGACACTACAGGAGGTTTCTCAAATGCTGCCTTTGGTGCTGTCAGTGCCACGGAGGTTACTGCTGTGGTTGTTGCTCTCAACACTTGCCAGTATACGCCTGGAACTGGAGATATAAACAAAGAGCTGAAAATAGAGTGTATGAGATGGGAAGAAAAATAGGGTGAGAAACAAATGAAAAACAAGTACTGGGCAAACATTTCAGCTGGGCTACAGCTTCAAACATTCACAAAGAAAATGGTCACATGAAAAAGGTGAAAGCGAAGAGAACACAAGACAGAAATGTCCTTTCAACACAGACCAGCTGCAAAGAGAAAGCACTCACCCTGTATTTCGTGTCTCTCAGCAGATGAATGTTTTCAGTTCAGCCTCGTCTCCAGAGCTGCTCGCAGAAGCCGCAGCACGATGTGTGTGTGTGTGTGTGTGTGTGTGTGTGTGTGTGTGTGTGTGTGTGTGTGTGTGTGCTGTGATGCCACTATCCACAGGCTATATAAACACAGAGAGGAGGAGGAGGAGCCTGTTGGAAGCGGTAGACAGGATGTGATGCTGTGATTGGCTCCCTGAGCAGAGTGATTTCAGGGAGGAGGGATGGGGGGTGAGGTTAACTGTTCAGCGGTCTCATTCAATGAAATTATTTCATTATTTAGTGTGACGAGGAATCTGAGATACCCTGAAGGTAGTGCCTCGCTCATGTCTGCTGTAGGCTGAGGAATCAAAGTCTACATAACAAATGCAATCTTATACTGATAATGCGACATCAGATATGATATAACACTATCAGCATTGATTTGCTGTTTGGCCAGACGTGCACAAAATGTATGAGGCACACTTTGCACATCCATCAGTCTCTCACTGTTTTTCACAGGTGCCATCAAACACGTTGTTATGTGAGACCCTGCAGCATCTTCAGTCTGTGCAGAATTTCCACCTCAGGAGTGATAATGGAATATCATTGCTGTTGGGTGTAAACCTTGTATGTCCATAATGTCGCCTTCTCCTCATAAAAACCTGGCCTGTCCCTGGCTTGATTACTAAACTTTTTAACAATATTTAACAAAGTTCTTCTTATATTTCATCAGCTTGAGGATTGACAAATGTTCCAAGTCCATAGAGAAGTGTAATTTCTAATGTAGAGATTTAAAAAACACCCAAATTACATGAAGGGGTTTTCACATGGCAACAGTAATGTAATTCAGGATTTAAGTGAAAACACTGACATCACATTATCGGAACACTCGGCTTTCCCCATTCCTCTCTCTCTCTCCGTCTTTGCATTGTCCTACATCATGTGCGTCATCCGTGTTCCCCTGCACTAAGCTATTACCGCTTGTCACAGTCACCGTCCTCGTCAGATTCCCCCTATTTACATCCCCTTGCTGTTCACACTCCCCTTTCTCTTCTCACACAGTGACAGTGGATACATGAGCCAACCGCCATGCATCTCTGGGGACGACTCACATCACCAGTAACTGGCCATACACTATATTGTGTGTATATTTGTCCATGTGCATGTATGTGCATTGGTCTGTGTTTTCCATATTTTTGTCTTTCTTGCAGCATTGAAATTGTCCAATCAACAAGATCTGCTGTAATTAACCCATGTCAGATTTTGTGCAGTATCTTGCAGGCACAGCTGCTTTGGATGCAGCAGTAATCTCAGTTTTCTATTACTGAAAATGGCAGAGGGTAAAAGGAGTTAATGTTCAAGCAGAACCGACCCTAGCTGAATACTCACTCCGAGGCAGAAGCAGTTTAATATGCAGCTGTTCCAATGACATCTAATTACTGGTTCCAGAAAACCCACTAACCACAACACAAAAGGCTGAACCATATGTTGTTACCTTAAACATGCACAGTGGTACTGTTGTGTCTAAAGGCTGACAAAGGCAGTGAGTAGTACTGTAGTAGTTGAAGTAGTAGTCAGTGTCACCCAGACACCACAGTGACGTAGAAGACCACCACAGATCGGTGGGAAGTACCTTTCACTTCTGAGTGGGAGCATTTTGTTTTCCCAGCCATTCACTGCTTGTGGTTTTAGTAAGCAGGTACAAATGAGATCTGTTTACTGCCCTCGCACACCGGCTGTCGCTTCTCAAACAAACCCTTTTCTTGCCTCTAGTAAGAAGCAACACTTTCACACCTGTTTTCTGTCAGCACTGCTAGCAGGTCGTTTTCACAGCAGATATTTTGACTTGTGCTGGCAGGTGTAATTAACAGAATTAATGATGGCTTAGTCCCATTGAAATGTACCCGTATGCCAAGTCAGGGCGTCAGCTTGAACAATGCCACATCCTGAAAGTGGCATGACAAAATGTAATACAGCCTTAAATAATCTATAATTAATTTGGCCTGTGCTTTTCCTGCTGTGAGATGTCAAATTGTTTTTAGTGAAAAAGGCCTACAGGGGCCATTCAAGTGTGAATTAACTAGTGTAGCTAATAGTTTAACGCTACAAGGGATTTACAGGTTTAAACAAGTGTTTTAGTCCAGTTTTAATTTAAAAAATATCATTTGATGTTCACTTGAGTCACATTTACCCATTATTAGTTCTTGTTATAATATTCTACATTGCTAGATACAGTATATGTTACACATAATGATAGGACTGGGGCAGTCCAGCTTTCAAGCTTGTGATGTTACAGTGGCATTCCTATGTTTGTGGGTTATGTGTGCAGAGAGGGTGGCCTCCATTACCATGCAAATTACTCTCCTGACAGGACTTAAACAATGGGAGAACCAGTGAGATTAAAATCACTGACCATTGCATAAAAACATGCAACACTTCCGAGAAGTAAAATCATTGTCAAAGTGTCCTTGGGCATGACACTGACCACTGATCAGCCATAACATTATGACCACCTGAGGCTGAGGCGCATCTTGTGTGAATTTGTTTGCTAATTTTCACCCACTTCAACAAAAACTCACATTAAATGGAATCTTTTGAAAAGAATAAGTGACATTTAAAAGTTTAATCTAGAGTAGGTCAACCTCATCAGTGAGCCGTAGGTGTTTGTTGGTAGGTACTAACCACTGTAGACAGGTAACAACCAACAAGACCCATAAGTTTGGAGATGCTCTGACCCAGTCATCAGACATCACAGTGTGGCCCTTGTCAAAGTCACTCAGATCATACGCTTGCTCGTTTTTCCTGTTTCCAACAAATAAACTCCAAGGACTGAATGTTCACTTGCTGCCTAATACACCCCACACACTGACAGGTGCCACTGTAACAATATAATCAGTGTTATTCACTTCACCTGTCAGTGATGATTATGTTATGGCTGATTGATGTAGGTTTCAGTTTGGGAAGGTTGTTGTTTAGCAAAACTGACAGCAGACGTTAACTTTGATAGTAACTACTGTACACTGGACAGACTAAATAGTTTGCTAAGGTTTAGTCCTAGTACAATTTTCCTGCTCAAGACTATTTTTCTGCTTTGTTATTGGCAAGAATAGTAACAGAATTTATGTGGTTTCGAAATGTGTTGTTCTCACTGTGGATTACATTCACAATGACTGCACTCTGCTCAGCACACCTGAGCAGGAATTTGGGTCTGTACACGCTGGCTCACTGACACACCTGGTGGTGACTAGAACCATCATTAATATTATAAGCTACACTTGAGCTTTACCTGCTATGACAGGTCCAAGCATCCACAGTGAGAATGGTCTGTGATTCAAATTGCAGCTTTCTTCTACCTGATATCAAATGATGGTAGTCTCAGGTTTTATTAGTGGTGTGTTATGGGTCAGTGCTGATTAGCAAAATGCAACTAGAGAAGTGGAAAGCACACTGAGTACCTAAGCTGGTCACTGTGTACTTGTTGAGGCACCCAAGAACCACCATGATAATGGCAGATTGACTTACAGTGCCTCATATTAATGTGGAACCGAAGCCGTGTATGACGTTGTAAAAGTTCAAACTGCAATGTATGTTCAATCTTAGAGCAGTAACTCACTTTATTTATGACCTATTTAGGCATTATTAGTCTCCAGTAATTTTAGAGCTGTGACTCACTTTATTTATGACCTACCGTATTTTCCGGACTATAAGTCGCTTAGTATCGTCATGGTTTTTCATCTTTGATTCTCTGCTTTTGTTGTGTTTGTGCTTAAACTGGTCTTTGTACTATTATGGTATAATCTGAATGCAATCTAAATCAGCAGTTAGTTTTGTCCTGGCTATAAAATCTATGTTGACACTGTTTCTTTATGATGTCTCATCTGGTAGCCAGCCTCCATCTCCACATGTTAAATCTGCTGCAAAAATGCTGAGATTTTAATGATCCTTGTCTGACATGTTTAGTTCATTTTGCCACCGGTAATGCCATGGTAAATGTCCCCTTTTCCAAACAACTATCGTTTACGTCTTTGTGCTGTCTGCTATATTGATTTCCCTCTGGTGCTGCCCTTAATTTGGAGACGTAATCACTTGTGAAAGCACTGGCAGTGAAGGCGATATTGTGCTGTTACCTTGGCACAGCATAAAAGGCTTATTTGTGTGGTGCATGTTTTTACATATGTGTCTCCATTTGTGGAAGAAGGTCATTCTAGCAGCCTTCAATAATGGATATTGTGGTTCAAAAAAAGGCTCAGAGGGATGTTGGAGGAGGAGGAGGAATGAGCAAGCGCTAAAGAAAGCTCGCTACTGTCCGCTGTGCTGCCGTCACCCGTTCACGTTCGATAATGCTGAGCAGCTTGCTGCCAAAGATAGGCATGTACAGCAACACATACCCACCCACAGACACACACGTAAAACCACCCACTGTACACACAAAGACACAGAAATGTAGGTTCCTTGTGGGTCAGTGAGACAAACAAAGAGAAGATTTTGGTGAAGGATGTTAGACTAGTTGTGCTTACAATGTGTGCATGTGTGTGCTAGTGAAATGCATGATTGACAGCAGTGGAGAATATTTATTTTTAACTTTTCAAAATAGATGTTTTTGCAGTTTCCTGTTTAGTTCAGAATCAGAGAATGAGTCATACTTTATAGTGAAATGTAATTTATCAGAAACAGTGAGACTGGTATTTTTGTGTTGTACAAAAAGCTGAAATTATTACATTTGCAAAGGCAACAGCTTTTATAAACAGTCGGAGGAGAGTAACACTGATAGGAATGAGAAAACTCCTTAATCAGTATGTTTACATGCAAAATATTAACTCACTCACTCTGACCACATAGATTAGTATTTCAATACGGTGTTCATTCTGTGTAATATCATGTTTGCATGAGGCACAAAAGATTTAGAGGATTTCAAATATCTTTTTGAATTGATTTGAGGTGGCCCACGGGCTAATAGGGAACAAAGGTTTGATAGGATATTAGAAGTCCTTCTGCTTGTTGTTAGCTCCAGGATTAAAGGCATTAGGCTGCCACTCATAACACAAAGTTTAATTCTTCACCCTCAGCTAGCCATGCTCACCT